GGGATTGAACTCAGGCCCTTGTGCTTGCCAGGGAAGCACTTATTCTACTGAGCCATCTGCCCGGCTGCTTCAAGTACTGTTTTTGGTCAACTTTCATTTAGGAAATTGATTCCTTCCTGTCTGGTCCTCCAATTTAGACAGCACTTGGAAATTTTACCTGACTTCCACAGTCAGACTCATGCTTCCAAAGTAGACTATTCACAAAATTTGGCAAGCTGAGGAAAATCACTTTAATTTTTATTGCGGAATGTCTGAGAACTGAAGGTGAACCACACCAGGCTGTTCTATGGCTCTGTTATGTGACAGGTGGCGTGAGGGGAAAAATGGAGACTGACGCACGTGATGGAAAATGTATGAAATATCCTGAGAACATAACAGGTGCTGCTAACAGACGGAAAAATCTCTTCAGTACCACATACACCTGCAAATATGACTTCTTCTTCTTCTTCTTCTTTTTTTTTTTGCAGAACCAGGGATTGAACTAAGGCCCTTGCGATTGCCACATGTGTTTACTTTACCGAGCCATCTCCCCAGCCCCTATGACCACTTCTTGGTTTTTTTTTTTTTTTTTCAGAACTGGGGATTGAACTCAGGCCCTTGCGCTTGCCAGGGAAGCGCTTATTCCACTGAACCATCTCCCCGGCCACTATGACCACTTCTTTATAGTTTCCCACAACACTCTGGAGGGCACCACTCTATCAGCACAGAGAACGGCCAACAGTGCGCAGAGAAGGCAGCGGCTTCCGCGGGCCCCGCGGGCACAGAACACGGCTCAGTCACTTGGTTCTCACTGCTGAGACTAAATCCCAACACTAAAACTAAGGGAGGAAAGGGTTCATTTGACTCGTAGCTGAAGAGATTTGGGTGCATGACTGGATCCAAAGTAGGGTGGCCCAGCAGAGCAGCACCAGGGAGGAGAAAGAACCGGGACAGCAGAAGACAGCGGAAGCCGAGAGCAGCGTGCAGCACGGGACACAGCAGCGTCTTCCTCTCCCTTAGATTTTTCCACGGCTGCAGCACTTACGATCATCAGCAGCACTGCGCTGTGAGAGAAATCCCAGCCTTGTAGTTTAGCTATTTCAGCATCTGAAAGTCCCCACCTAGGAGTGCATGAGGCATTCAGGGGGATGTATAGTTATGGGCAGGAAGGAATATGCATCCATTAGGCAGCTCTTATGTCACACAGTGGCACAAATAATTCATTTAACTTGCAGGCAAGGATTGTAGCCTTCATGTGCACAGCATGAAAATGAAGTTTCCTCTTGCAAGGGGCAAGACAAGCTTGAACACTTGGAGAACGCACAGGGAAATAGGTATTCAAAGAGAAGAAAAGGATGCCCAGAAGGGCGCTGACAAAATTAAGAGGCTGAGGGCAGGGGAGCTGACAAAATTAAGAGGGTGAGGACATGGGAGATAGCTCAGCGGTCTAAGCACCTGCCTGTCAAGCACAAGAACACGAGTTCTGCACCATTACTGCATGTTGTGCTGGCCCTGGAAGCCTGGCCCTGTGCCAGTCACAGAAACTGGGCATGGTGGGGCACGCCTAAAATCCCAGCACTGGGGAGGCTGAGATAGGAGGATCACGGAGTCTAACCTGCATAGCGAGACCCTGTACCAAGTAAATAAATGATTTAAAAGAGTAAAA